ATAACAAAGGACCAGGGAGGGAGGAGGACGAAGGTGTCCGGCAATAAGTTAATGTTGCTCGTCGTCACTGTCTTGCGTGGTGGTAAGAGGCGTGAGGACGCACGACTCGAGTCAGTGATGACGGGGCGACACGAACCAATTTACGTACCCCTACCCGCTATTTGGCCCCGTGTTATGACTAGAACCCGACCCCGTGATCCCTGAACGCCTCTCCCCAATTACTTACGATTGTTCATTCTATCCTGCCCTATGTTATTGTATTTACCTGATGAATAATAATGGAAAACGTACGTTCGCCTAACTTGATTCCGGAATACTGCTGCAGATATGCGAGCTCCTACAGTTAACTCTATGCACACGATCGAAATGAAGGGAAGCAAACTTAATGTGGGCCATAATATAGGAAATCAGGATAATTTCATTGGTATACGGCCAGAATATTTATTTCACCAGGAGTCGAACTGATGACCAGGCTTCGCACCAAACTGCGAATAACACCCAAACCAGCTAGAGGCACGTATATCAAGACAGTAATGTTCAGGATTACGCTCTTTTATTCAGTCAGCTATAATCTCCGTCTACAGTTCAGGTTAGAAACGCAAGCATAACGAGGAGGGTTAACTAACAGGTTACATTGTTTGGAGCAGAAGCACTCCATCAAAAGTGCCTCGTTACTTGGCGTTACGGAGGATCTGTTCGCATGTTAGCAGTTGCAAACCAAACTACTGATTTCTCATAAAAAAAGCCAATAGAAAACTGTACAATCACAAATGACAATATTCACTGGAAACTACTGGCATATAAGTATATCATGAAAAAAGCATATGAACGTCGCCTTTAACACTACGAGGGCATAACATACCGACGCACGTAATTCTAGGGCATCCTTATAGACACGAAGCTGTTCTTCTGCAGCACCCTGCAAGGACTTGAGCAGAGAATTGTCAAGGGTGGACCTCAAGTCGATTCCGATCAACTTGGTTACCTTAAAGGCGACGAGAAAACGAATCAGTATAATCCGAAAGAGTTTGCTATCGAGAATGTGGGGAAATTAGCGGCAGCCAGGTATAGAGGTATGGAATAGAAAAGATAATAAGGACTGTATAAGTCATCGCAAATTCTAGCATGTGTTGCTCCACTAATCGGTTTTTGTCGCAGTATATGTTAACCACTTTATTTGGCGAGAAAGACAAGAAGAACAATGCCTTACGTGGTTTGAATGAACATGAATGCGTTCAATAGCACAGGCCATGGAGTAGAAGGAGACTGAGTGGCTATCGACGAGAATGACTTTCAGGTGATTGCAAAACTTTACTGTTTCCTCCAGAACCCAGCTGCATAACTCTACAAGAAGACAAGGAATAAAGACGTGCGAATTATAGAGATCCGAAAAAAAAACATCGGGAGAAATTGCACCGCATCAAGGTTTAAGACAGACGAGCATTCTAACTTGGGCGTTATCTACAGTCATTCAGAACAGTAATATAACGAACTAAGTATGAATAGAAGAGCATGGGAAAGTAGAAAAGGATAAAGAAACTAGTGCAAATTCGATAAGGGGGAAAACTCACTAGAGGAAAGCAAATTATCTGCATTCGCCTCTGGTTTTTTGCTGCGAAGAAGTTCAATAAGTTGGTTCCACTCGGTGACAGTCTCTACCAGTTGACGGTGAAAGGTGAGACTGAGACGGTTAGTGTAAACTAGCTGGTTGCCCTCTTGACGCACTCCCCGCGTCAAGTTCCGATTCATCAGTCCAGAACGATAGGTCAAGAAGAGATGCATCGCGAGGACGGTCTTGTTGAGTTCTGACAAGTAGAGCACGGCTGCTTGTACCGATCGGACAGCACCTGCAGTTAAGAAATGCAAATTAAAAATGAGGTCAGCTAATCAGAAAAGACGATGTGCAAGTTGCCGTCAGAGATGAGAGACGACCCGTAAAAACAGGGGCAAGAGAAAGATGTGATTAACAGTAGGACTACTGGAAGACAACAAAAGAACACAATAGTTTATGGGTCGCGATAAAAGTGGATAATCGCTAGTACCCGGGGCGACATTTACCCGAGAAACATCGATTTAACTATTCTCCTTCCACATACTTCGAATTGCGATGGCAAGAGAAGAGAATGAGGGCTGAAAAAGCACCTGGGTGCAGTGCGTGACCTTGCATGCATACTTCGCGCATGTACTAGTCAATAAACCGAAACGAACCAGAATAAGGAATTATGATAAAGCCATCATAACTCGGCTCTCTTTATCGAGGACAATTACCCGGTCAATCAGAAACCCTGAAAGTCGTCGTGAAGATTCAAAGGTTCATCGAAATGCATTGTACTGCGGAGAGTTCGAGAATCGCAGTCGGCTTAACTCACGGCTTCCTCCTCTTCCTCCCTCCAACATCATCCAGTGACAAGACTGTAGATGAGCGCGAGAGAGAGCCTGCTGTTCTACAGCTTCCGACTTTAACTAGCCTCCTAGAAGGGATCAATTCAAGCTGCCCGCTCACCAAAGATTTGCTTTTCTTCATAGAGAGAGAGTTCTTTGCAGATAAAAATATTTCAGCGAACGTTCTGTAGTCGGGTTACCCGTTAGCCTAGCTGCTGGCTACCCGGCGCGTCCACGGGTGGCG